CACACAAATTTAAAAGAGCAAATGATGACAGAGGGTTTAATGGAACAGACAGCACTGCCATCGGCAGCAATGCCAAAGCCTGGGCCTGGGTGCAAGCTCTCAGCCCGGGAGGGAGGAGCCTGTGATTCAGCACCCTGCCCCATTTTCCCCTTAAGGCTCTGGGACTTTCAGTAAATGCTGAGGTGTCTTGATCACCAGGGGGCGTGGGGGAGGGGACAAGGCTGCAGGACTGTCTTTATTTATTTATTTTTTAAAAAAAATATATTTTATTGATTTTCCACAGAGAGGAAGGGAGAGAGACAGAGAGCCAGAAACATCGATGAGAGAGAAACATCGATCAGCTGCCTCCTGCACATCCCCAACTGGGGATATGCCCGCAACCAAGGCACATGCCCCCGACTGGAACCGAACCCGGGACCCTTCAGTCCGCAGGCCTACATTCCATCCACTGAGCCAAACCGGCTTCGGCTAGGACTGTCTTTATACACAGCTGTCTGTTCTCGCACACAGTGCTTGCTTCTTTGGGAATCGCTGGTCGATCCCCACTGTGGGTCAGACGTCATGGGCTTGAGAATAGGTGTGGGGTCCCGAAGAGCCACATTCTAAACACCCGGCCTCAGCTGTTGCAGGCACCTGACTCCTGAGGCAAAGGTGCTTCCTCTGGCTTGACTGTTCTGCCCTCCCTTGCGTTTTGGGGACCACGCTTTGCCACAGGGGGAAAAAACAGCTCAGGGCCCCTGAATGGGTGGACCTGTCACAGGGACGCGGCATGATGACATCCAAGCACTCTCCCTCCTAAGGTCTTGTCAGCAGGCGAGGTAGTTTTATGTTGGGAACCTTCAGGTCTTGGCGGCCCTCCGTCTCCAGGGAAACTTCAGCCCTAAGAGTGGTGACGTGAAGATAAAGTACCATCGTTGTCCGATGCTGCTTCGGAAACTCGGCCTCCGCAGGCCAGGTGGGTCCCCCTGCCCTTCAGGCACTCCTGGCGCAGCCCACACCTCAGCTCGCCCCCCTTTCTGCTGTCGTGTCTGACTTCAGAAGGATCCTTCCAGACTTCCTTTCGGCGGCGTCAGTGATCAGCTCAAGGTCTGCTTTGCATCAGGTGCTTGTCTGGAGCCAGAATTTAAGTCTCGTGGCATTGGGTTCAGGCTTTGTGCACTGACCACTCGGCCACAGGTGCAGAAGGCAACACCCAGAAGCACGGAAGAGCGCATCCTTCCCTCATGCCCACGTGCGGCGTTTGTCATTTGAAATACTTGCCATGGGGATGCCAATTATGGATTCCTTCCCTCAAGAGCAAATCCTAATCCAGTGTGAGAGGGGCCGGGACCTGACTCAGTGGTATTATTATGCGCAGAATGCTTCCCCTGCTGGGCGAGAGCTCAATGCACTAAGCAGGTGATGGCCTCAGAGGTCTCCTGAGTGAGAGAGGATGGGGCAGGGCCTGCCTGCTCTGTTCCTATGGGCTCAGGCACCATTTACACACTGCAGAATTTCAGAGGGAAACAGAAAGCCTTGCATGCTTCCAGAGGCTGCATGGCAAGCAGATGGAGTGTTAACCCCTTGTCTATTTTAGGTAAAGTAAAAAGATGTCTCACGGGAAAGAAGAGCTATTTGAATGTCACAGTTACTTTTAAAGCGTGACTTTAAACCTCATGAGTGGGAAAGCCCTTTAGCCTGAATGAAATCAACAACACAGGGCGACCCTGCAGGTCAGGCTGCTTTCCTCTTTGCTGCCGTTCACAGCCTCCCTGATGTAGGTGATGAAGACCTGGGACCTCTGAATCAGCTGCTGGGAGAGGTGGGGAGGGGGAGCTGAAGAATCTCAAACCAGGCTGCACGCTGCACGGAAGAACCACTACTGTCCCAGCTCAGAAACTCGGTAGGTAGCATGGGTGTTTTCAGGGGGTGGCGGAAGTGGTAAACATTTATTTAAAAGTTAAAAAACAACAACAACAAACTCATAGATACACAGAACAAACTGAGGGGAGAGGGCTTGCCAGATGGGAGAGGGATGGGGAGGACTGGGTAAAAAAGGTGAAGGGATTAAGAAATACAAATTGGTAGTGATAGAATAGTCATGGGGATGTAAAGTACAGCATAGGGAATGTAGTCAGTAATATTGTAATAACTATGTGTGGTGCCAGGTGGGTACTACACTTATTGGGGGATCACTTTATAACTTATGTTAATGTCTAACCACTATGCTGTAAACCTGAAGCTAATATAATATTGAATGTCAAATGTAATTAAAAATTTTTTAATTAAAAAGAATAAAAGCAGCCCAGCCAGTGGCTCAGTGGTTGAGTGTTGACCTATGAACCAGGAGGTCACGCCTAGATTCCCGGTCAGGGCACATGCCTAGGTTGCTGGCTTGATCCCCAGTAGGGGACGTGCAGGAGGCAGCCCATCGATGATTCTTTCTTATCATTGATGTTTCTATCTCTTTTTTCCTCTCCCTTCCTCTCTCTGAAATTATATATATATTCAGAGAAAAAATCTTAGCTTCACCACTAAAAAAAAGTGTTCATGAAAAAGCATAACATCCATGCAGTGATGTACACAAATCTGAAACTCCACCCCCCCACCCCCCACATCAAGTTACAGAACATCATCATCCAGGGGCCTCAGCGCAGGATTTTTAAACTTAAAACTCTTTTATTCTGAAAAAATTAAAACTCTTCAAGTTGCAAGAGTATTAACAATGAAAGCATGGGCATTTAAGAAATCTTCTCTGTTGATTCTAACATACATACTGTATTGATTGTAATAATTTGATGTTTTTGCCACATTTCTGGCCATACAAAATCTCCAATACTGTTACTGATTTCATCACCAGGTCATTGTTTTTCAAGGTTCCTTCAACATAGAAATTAATGGTACCTCAGATACATTTAATTTTGTTGTACTGTGATTGTTTTTATAACTTTTCATGCATTGTTTATGATCCACAAGCTCCCTTTTTCCAGTTATATATGGATGAAGCTGCCCTGTTAGCTATAAACAAAAATCTTATGTGTACTTGAGAAATAGAAAGGTGGAGATCATGCTAAATATTTGTGGGTCAGCCACTGATTGATAATTGGCAAGGCCAGAGATGAAATCTGGAGCCCCCTACAGTTCCTGGGCAGGGATATGTAAAAGGCAGGAGCCTGAGGAATGAAGGCCTAGTGAAAAAAAACAAACAAAACAAAAACAAGAGCAACCACGCCCAGGCCTGGTGGAAATAGGCAGAAGCCACTCTGAGCTCTGAGTTCAGGAAGGCCAGCAGGAGAAATTCTGAGATGTGATGGGAAGGGAGGATGAGGGAGGCGACAGCAATAAACCCAGAGCCAAGCTTCTCCGGAGAACGTGTGGCCACAGTCAAGGAGCTGTGCTGTCTGTCACCAGAGGCCGAGACACAGGACAAGGCTGGCTCAGAAGGAGTGCAGCTGCCAGGGGGTGCCCTGTGGGACTGCAACTGTGTCCACCTGAGCGAGGCACCTTATTTTAACTTGCACAAAGGCTGCATATGGACTAGCAGTGGCTCTGGGAGCAATGCTGGTACAGCTGGACTCTGCCCAGGCTCTGCACCTCCTCTTTGGCTCCTATACATAGTTGCAGTTCCTTACACGACAGAGAAGTAGCTTTCCCATTCACAACAGCCTGCAGAGTCAGGTGGGAGTCAGATGCAGCTCTACGAAGGAATGTTCCAGATGAATGAGGAGAAACACCTTTAATTCCTCACGTGGTGGTAGAAGATGAGCCTGATGATGGATGTGGGGAACTGCCTGTATGAGGGCATCTCTGGCCCAGAAGTGAACAGTCTTAAAAGGATGAGCCCATCCCTTGAGCTTGGCACCCCACACTCAAATGTTTGGCAAAGACAAGTTCTCTTCAGGCCAAGTACCCAATTCCTTATGTATTGTTCTTCTTGCAAAATATAATTTCGGTTTGCATGCAACATTTTAGGTTATTAAAAGAAAGAGTGCAACAACAAGAATTTTGTAACTCAGTATAGTAAAACAAATGACACTGCCTCAGAATACTAAAGTCTGTCTTGTCTTTGATTTTACAAGAACTTGGATTCACTTAAGGTTGTTCCCTAACAGAACTACGCTCTATAATGAAAAATTCCTCTGTTCTAAAAAAAAAGGCAGGAAAATAGAAAATGAGTAAAAGAGTGGATTTTTGAAATCTAATTTCAGATTGATTAGATTTTAGACAGAACAAAGAATGAGTTTTTGAGTCACATGTGGTTATAATTTATACAGTATTCATATTTTGCAAACTTGAGCCTGTTTGTACACACACACACACACACACACACACACACACACACCCAGAACATCTCCCCATCCCTTTCCTTATAGATTAAATTTGGTTCCTGGATAATGTTAACTTCTCTCTGAATTGCGCTGTTTGGGAGTTTATGCCTATGAGTAGGAAAGTTCTGTTCAGAAAGATGAAACCTTTAAGTCTGCCGAGGCAGGAGCAGTAAGCAATTAGGAGGAACTGAGGAGGGGATCTGCAGAGCAAGGACAGTAGAGTTACCTCTTAGGTTCTGCAAACTGACAGCCCACGACAAGACGGGATCCTCCCTGCTGCCATCCCAGTTCTGAGCTGCCAGAAGAGGTGGGGCTGACGGGGGCTGAGCTTTGGACTAGGCCCAGAGGGGATCAATAAAGGCACTTGTGTGTGCCTGGTGTATATGACAGTCCCCAAACCTCATGTGGCCTTATATGCTGATTATGCTCTGTGCATCCTCTCCCATCCACATGGGCAGGGACCCCAGAGTTGATAGCACATAGCAAAATGCAATCATATCCCTAGACACCCATTGGCACAGTCTTACCTTGTACAGATCTCTGTATGGGGGAAAAGCTTAGACATTGCAACAGGGAGAAACATGATGAAGACAGTGCTGTTTTCAAACCAGCAGGTAGAAGAAAAAAAAGGGATGGGAATGGAGGCCGATTTAAAACAAGGTGACCACCGGCTGTGCGAGGCCAGCCTCTTACCGTAGTGCGGGATGATGGCCCAGGCCATGGCAGAGGCGTAGATGCCGCCGATCATCCAGAACATGCAGAGCCAGCTCAGATGCTCACCCCGCTTCTCTCGGGCCAGCACTTCTGCAAAGTAGGAGAACACGATGGGAATGGCTCCTCCAATCCTGCCAAGAGATACAGAGAATATGGGAAGTCAGGGCTGAACCGTCATGTGAGATACAAAGGGCAGAACCAAAGCAAGCTCTCACAACACATGCTCTCTATCCCAGCATATCAGAGAATGTATACTTTCTATCACTTTATAACTTTAATATTATAACTTCTATGTAATATAGTTTTATAATCTCTCTAATGCAGTGGTTCTCAACCTTCCTAATGCCGCGACCCTTTAATACAGTTCCTCATGTTGTGGTGACCCCCAATTTCATTGTTACAAATTGAACATAATTAAAGCATAGTGATTAATCACAAAAACAATATGTAATTATATATGTGTTTTCCGATGGTCTTAGGCGACCCCTGTGAAAGGGTCGTTCAACCCCCAAAGGGGTCGCGACCCACAGGTTGAGAACCGCTCCTCTAATGCCTTGAACCTGCAATTAAGCCAGGTTACCAAAAGGTGGCAGTGGTGTCCTACTCGTGGCTTACAGATCTCAGTTTAAGATTCCAATGTTCTACGTATTTGAATGTTCTACATATTTGTCAAAAATTACAATATTTGGTACAATCTAGTGAATATTTTAATAAATGCATTAAAAAGAGATAGTATGATGAGCTCTTTCTGGGAGAACACACAAAGAAGAGGTCATGTGAGCACTCAGGGAGATGGCAGCTGCCCGCAATCCAGGAAAAGAGAGTTCTCCAGAACCAACAATGCTGGCACCCTGATCTCAGCGTCCAGCCTTCAGAACTGTGAGAAAATCAATGTCTGTTGTTTAAGTCAAAAACGAGAGAGAGAGAGAGAGAGAGAGAGAGAGAGAGAGAGAGAGAGAGAGAATGAGAATGATATGTCCCACCCATGACGTGATGACTTTGGAAACAGCTTCAAACTCTTCTGGGAGGCTGTCTCCAACTATACCGACTCACTGCTACCCTACAGCAGGTGCTCCCAACCAGACTGATGTGTTGACAAACAGGGTTGTTTCCTAGAATGATTCTGGTCCAATCCAACAGATTCGTTGCTGAATGAATGCATGTGCAAGGGGCCCTGAGAGAATCAGCTAAGGAGCTACTGGTTTAGATACCAACAGAATGAGGTATGAAGCTTCTTTCAGTCAGGGTAATTACCAGAGATGCTGACTGAGTTTTGGAGAGAAAGTGTGATTAATGACTTCTCAGGGTAAGGGTTCTCTAATGTGGGTTTACTGAAAAGAAATTTTGTTTACTCCAGGGAGATATGCCATAGATCTCTCAGAATTTCAAATAGGTCTTGACCCCCAAATTTTAATAACCATTGTCTCAGAAAGCAAGGTATTATGAGAAAGCATTACTTTCTATCATTCCAAACAATATATGACTTCTTAAATAGTTTTTAAAGATGTGAACAATGTATGCAAGCCATAGAGACAAAACCTAGTGATACAATTTTAAAAACTCATTCAGATTTTTATAAGGTAAATTGGTGTCGACATTTCATGCAATTTGATGTCGAGGAGTAAAATATGTGTTTTTCCATTTGGCAATAACTGATTTCTTTAGAGCCTTTGGTATGATCAACAAGTATTGGCAGTGAGCTTAGCAAATGCAATGTGGAGAAAGACCACATCTGTAGGAGACTGCAGGATTTGTAATGTCATTCCACCTCAATGGGTAGGTCAAAATATGGTACCATTTCATGAGTGTGCCCTGCTTACAGTGATGTGGGAGTTGGGTACTGCTGGGTATGGGCAGACCACTTAGGCCAATATTTTTCAATCTGTCGGCTACAAAATTAATTTAGTAGCTGTAAGCAACATTTTAAAAATTAAATAAAGATATTTGAGTACACTCAAGAAATTAGAATAAGTATCATTTCATGAAACTTTTGTCTCCATTACATATTTATAATGTTTCATCATGTGTATGCATACATATGAAAATGTATAATGAGTCCCAATGTGTTTCTTTTTTTGGTGTTTTTTTTAATCCTCACTTGTGTCTATTTTATTCCATTGCTTTTTCAGAGAGAGAGTAGAAGGGAAGGAGGGAGAGAAACATTGACATGAGAGAGACACATTGGTTGGTTGCTTCCCACATGCAACCCAACCAGGGGCAGGGCGCGAATGGCAACCCAGGTATATGCCCTTGACCGGAAATTGAACTCAGGACCCTTTGGTGTGGGGGCCAGTGCTCTAACCACTGAGAAACACTAGTTAGGGTCCCAATGTGTTTAATGAGAGTTGCTGTTCAAAGAGTTTAAAAATCACTAACTGAAAGCATCTATATGTGTTTCCTTGGGCTATGAATGTGGCAGTTGTACTAAAATTTCTAGAAGTATGATTCCACATGACTTCAGATGCAGCACAATTTAGTGCCATCACACCAGGGTAGCTAGACAGCTCCCAGTCCATCAACCAGACCCCCAACAAGAAACAAGCGTGAGTGGCGGCTGTCAGAGCTGGCTCAGTGCCTCGCCACATCAGGCACACAGTCCTCTGGCGGCTTGCTGAGGACCTCAAACCATGGACAGCTAGTTGAATTGAAACATTCAACAAAGTCTTGAACAGATTCAAAATGGTTTCATGACAACACACAATTTTAATGGGAAATAAAATGTCTGCATCTTGAATCATTTGACACTATTTTTTTTTCCACTCGATGTGATGCATTCGTTTCTCTGCACCATAAGGTCCCACTTCTGTGGCCTCACTTCTCAATGTTTAAAAAGAGTCCCAGTTTTTATTGACTTTCCACATCCTAATTAATGTTTCGTCAGGATTCTGGATAGTTCATATGTAAGAGCAGTAACTCACACTTCGTGAAGGCACAATTGCATGTCAAGATATGCCAGGCCATGCTGAACTGAGATCAATGTACTCCAGGGTGACTAAGATGGCAAGTGGAAGGCTATAGACTCGCCTATTAGTTTTAAACAAATCATGTTGCATCAAAGAGATTACCAACTTATAAGGGCATATGAGCAATCCAGCTGGTTTTGATTCAATGCCTCTTTTTTTAAGAGATTATTTTTGCATGGATGTATCTCAATGTTTGTAAGACAGACAGCAAGGAACTCCAATATCAGTGGATGAATGAGTCTGAAAATGAGGGAGGGAATCTATGTAAATCCTTTGCAAAGTCCTTCAGATTCAGAGACCTATAAAACAACCCAAGCATTCACATTTCTTATTGTGAGCTGATCATCTCTTTTGGGGAAAACATTGCTCCTTGTCTTATTGTGATATCCTTTAGGCGAGAAAAACATTACAGTGTGCTATGATGTTAACTATTACTATTCCATTCCCCATCAGAATGCTTATGTGTTGTTTACATAATTTATGTTTACAATGATGAAGCAATTAGATCAGGATGCTTATGAAGGAATTTTCTCAGAATTGGATATTAAGTCTATTTCATTAGCTGTCAAAAGGGTCAAATCTCAATTATCCTTGGCAATAAGAGGCACAGAGGAAATAATGAAAATCCACATTCTACATAGGTGGATTCCAAATAGTTGAATTAACACAATGAAATAAAACATTGATATCTGGCATTTCAGAATTGGGATTATTCCCTAATAATATTAATTTTAGGTTTGTACAACTTTAATTATAGGAATATAAAGAAACTAAATAAAACTGTATTAAAACACATTCCTGCCCAGCTGGCGTGGTTTATTGGTTGAGCATCTACTATGAACCATGGTTCGATTCCCAGTCAGGGCACATGCTCGATCCCCAGTGTGGGGCATGCAGAAGGCAGCCAATCGATGATTCTCTCTCATCATTGATGTTCTTTCTCTCTCTCTCCCTCTCCCTTCCTATCTGAAATTAATAAACAAAAGCAAAACATTCCTAGAATGAGTTGGGAGCCCTCTCCCACCCCATTCTACATATGAGCATGCACATAGACATACCCAAGTTCCTCAAACATTCTGTATTTGACTCAATATTAGCCAGCTGGTGAATATCATGAAACATAGATTTTCCTCAGTAATTTAAGACAAATTCATGAGTAGGATATTGTGTAAGGCAAAGGGTGTATCAGCTTTACCGACAGGATTTCTCCTCTGTTGGGAGAATGAGGCACGTAATTCAATCAGTTTATCACGGCAAGAGGAAGGAGAACGACCAATATCACTGTCTGCACAAACCATGAGGAAAAACTGGGAGCCTGGTGGTGCTAAGGCCTGTACACTTCACAGCCAAACCTCCAGCTCAGGTGGCAGCGTAGGAATGGACTGTTTGTCCCTGCCCCTCATCACACTGACTTATGCTGGCTATTGAGATGGGTGGGAATTCGGGCTTCTGCAATGGAAGAGGGAGGTTGCAGATAAAAATAATTGTACTTAAAATGGCTTGAAGTGTGACATCTTAGGGGAGAAATTATGGGATGTCTGATGACTTTCTGTCCTGAGGAGGGATTCTACTGAGTAATTCTGCTCTGCTTTCATTCTCCAGTGAGCCTGTAACAGAATAATTTCATTCTAACTTATTTCACCATGTGATTTCAAAACAGTCCCTTACCTCAATCTTCCACTTCCCATTTCCTTTGGGAAACGGGCGTTAAGGGAGAACATGAATAAGGAAGAATAACTGTTGTAAAGTCACAGGCTCATACAGGTGAAACACAGAGGGCAAAATCCACCAAGAGCTCTCTAGACAGTAGTATGGGTTTATAAGAAGAATAGTGAATGATGTTGCCTATGCGGAAATCACAGTTACAGATAATTTGCATGAAAAACACCCTTTTAATCCTTACTCAGAATCAACAAAAGAGGAAGGAAGACACAGGCAAGTTGCACAGCAATTCAGAAGCAATTAATTATGTTTTAAATTGGACACAGAAATAACAGTTAAAAGCAGCAGCCCCAAGGATGGGCTTTTCAGCGACTTCTTCATGAAAGCAAATTGGCTATCACAGAGGAGGTTGTTCAGAGGCTTAGATGAAAGAACAGAGATCTAACAGGCTCTGAATGAGCTGGGTTTGCACAGAAAATGAGCTTGCTAGATTGACTAGAAGCCAT